CTCTAATATGGCCGAAAATCCCCTTCCATTCATGAATATTCATTCATGAATCCCTGTCCCCATTTTCCCTGATTTTATTCCATGAAAGGACTCAAGCACATGACTGCATTTTCTAGGATTTGTGGAAGAAATAGCTTAGTATTTTCCTTTGTATGAGTGCCTTTAAATTTCGGCCATAGGCCTATTGTAATGCTCAGATTTTTATTCTTCATTTCAAGATAGAAATACACTGGTTGTATTCTGTTTTCAAATCCTAATTTCTATATCTTAAGGTTGGTTTCCTTAAGTGTGAGTGTTAGGTTCTAGTTATTTAATTGAGTGTGTAATATCTTAATTAAATTCTAGACTCAAACCCCAAGTGAGGATAAGAGTGTGTTATATCTCTTAAAACCTACTTGGTTTTTATCCCTTTTCCCCTCTTATTTTCCCTTCCAAATTTTCGGCCCTCCTAAAAAGCACAACCAGTATCCCCCTTTTTCTCCCCTATTCTTATGCCTTTAAACCATCTTAAAAATCAACCCTTCATCCTCCTCCATATACTCGACCAGTCCACTCCCCTCCCTTTCCAAACCCAAGCTTAAATATATCATCATAGACAGTTGTTCAGTTCACCATCTAGGCTAGTTACGTATGGATGTTCTTTTTGGCTGTCTCATTTGTATATTTTGCCCTTCTTTTAAAAAATGGTTGCATATTAGTGTCTGTCTATTGATCTGAACTTGTCTTGCTGCCAGAGTTCCCCACTTAAATAGATCAAAGAATTGAGATATTGCTTCTTCCTGAAAGAGCATTCACCATGTTTGGATGGTCCTGTTATTATTACTAGTGAGTGGGGTATATTAATAGTAAATAGAAATGCAAGAAAAATTGATGGTGCCACTGACCACCATTGCCACCAAGATCTAAGAGGCACAAATTGATTTTTAATCTCAGTTAAATTTTGATCTACCATTAATTTGGGCATGGAGGGAGCTCAAAATATTGTGTTATTAAGAGCTTGTTATTTTGAATCTATTCTTATCGCTTATTACTTATTGTTATTGCAATCAGAGATTCGGAATAATTTCAAATATAATACAATCAGATTAGATTAGAGAATCATTCAAAAAAGATTAGATTAGATAAAATTAGATCAGACTTTAATAAAATCAAATCACATTACATTAGATCAGACGATGACAAGTTCTAAAATAGTACTCCGTATTGTTTTAAGTTGCATGTTTGTTGCAATTGCTAAATATTCTCTCTGTCTCAAATTAAGTTATATGTTTATTATTAACATAGTTAAACTTTATTATTTTTTTTATTTTTGTTATTCATTTGATAAAATAATATAATCATATTATCTCTAGTTTCATAAAAAAAATTTATGTAGTTTTTTAATATATTAATTTTATATTTTTCTTTTGCTTTAATTTTCAAATAAATTGTTTTCAAAATGAGTCTAGCAAAAGATCGTAAGCAGGTGAATTAAATTGAGATCGATGGAGTAGTATGAGTGGACTAAACTAAAATGACATGTTAAATTTTTATCGTAAAGTAAATGGATAAGGATTTAAAAATAGTCTGTGTTTTCATAATGTTAAAATTGTGTACATGTTGATCCTAAGTTTTGACGAGATTAAGATTGTACTAAATTATAGTTTTAAAATTGAAAGCTCATAATATTGCGAGTATTACATGAAAAAAATTTTGCAATACTTTCTCCGTCCAATAAAAAAGTAGAATATTTTGACTTTTAACACAATTTAAAAAATGTACTCGTGTTAAAACATATAAAATGTGTCAATTACAAAAGAAGTTAACATTGATATGTATGGTTGAAATTTGTATTGATAAGATAAAACTTCTATGGGATGATTTTTATTTAAATAGAAAGAAATTAGACTAAAATTTCTTTGGAACATTCAACAAGGGAAACTAAGAAAACTTGAGGGAGGAGGTAGATTTTACTTCCGTTCCAAAAAAAACATCTTTTTCTTTCAATATAACATTTTGACTATTAATATATACCTGTAGTACTACGTATAGTTATATGTAAATATTAAATCTGTCTCGAAATATTTGTCAAATCTAAACATTTTGCAATCAAATTGACAAACTTTAACTATTAATTAAATAAAATTAATACAAAGTATTAGATATCGATACAAAAATAATTATATTATATTTATTTTATAAAATATTATTTAATCTAATTAGTACACCATATAATTTGTACAGTATTTAATTATAGGTTAAAACAAATTATGATTGATTATAAAAAAATCAAAACCGGACAAAAATTCTGAAACAGAGAAAGTTTATTTTAAAAAATATGATATCTATTGCAAATTAAATCTATCAATATTACATTTATATAATAACATTATTTATTTTTTCCGGCATACACTACTCAATGTTTAAAAATTATGGGGGAAAAAATCAAATGGGAATTGGGAAAGGGAAAAAGTAAGAAGTGCGTGACATTAGCGGGCGGGCACAACCATGACACCGTTGCAATTTTAACTAACCAGATGCGGCCCTTTTGAATTATAGCGCTGGCGGGACTATAAAAGCCTCCCCCATTCACCTTCTTCTTCTTCTTCTTCTTCTTCTTCCATTCCAAACCTGCAAATCCGCAACAGACATTCGAACAGAAAAATGAGCTCGAGCACAGGAAACTTGGCCATGGGGAAACGAATTCGGAAAATGAGACCGCTCTGTTGCTGCGTCTCTCCTCGATTCAAGCCTCTCGTTCCTCATCCTATCTTCTCCCGGTTCTCTCTCTCTCTCTCTCTCTCTCTCGTATCTGCATTTGAAAACATAAAAACTGTTTCTGATTTTTTATGCGATGACTGTGTGAAATGAATGATGAACTGCGAAGAGTGCTGTTGAAAATTGAGGTTCCGACATGAAGTCTGGTTTACTCGATTAGATCAATTCTCTGTGCTGCGTAATTCTAAATTAAACGGGAGACCTGTTCAATTTCAGCTCAATTTAGCTCGGAGTTGATAAGTATAACCTATTATGTTCGACTACTGTGCAGAAATTGTTGTGCGATGATCTATTTTGAGCTTGAGCACCTTTTCCCCCAATCTCTGTTCATGATTATCTGATCGATTGCTACAGGAGACGAGAGATGTGATAATACTCTGATGTTTCCAGTACGATTCCAATTTTAATTAACCTCAGTGATGATGCATTACAAATTTCCAGTTCTACTGATATGCGGATTGTTTAGATTCTTCAGGAACTTGATTGTGAAAGTGTATTTTCTTGCAATAGATTCTGTGTTATTAAAGCGCATTTCATTAACCTGCAGAAACTGCATCTGATATGCAGTTCAGTTCGATTTTCTGGAGACTAATTTGTTTCTCATTGCTCTATATTCAACGCTGAAGGTATGAAGAGGACACGTGGACTGAGGTTGCCAAGTATTTGGATGGGAAATCTCTGATAATGCTTGCAGCAACTTGTAAGTGGTTCCATCATGTCATCATGGTTGAGAGTGTTTGGAAGTATGCTTGTTTGCGTGACCTTGATGTGCCTGATCCTGGAAAAGTGGGCTGCAAATGGATCCAACTCTATGCTACAGCCTTTGGTAACTGACATTTAACACTTTTTTAAATCCATTCCCTGGCAGCTAATCATTTGTCTAAAAGAAATCTGACGTATAGCTCAAAAATTGACAGGTGGTAGTCATTCTTACATGTTCCGCCAGAAGGACAAGCACATAGGTGAATTATCCTTATATTTATTTCTTAATTACTTTTCCATTGTTGAATCATTCAGCTTTTATTCTGAAAAAAGAAAAATCCCATAACTTGGCAGACTGGATGCGCATTGGAGCTTTTGTGTTTGACTCACAAGCTGCACTTCTCACAGAAAATCTAATTGCCCCCTTTAGAATCCCAAAAGAAGAGACAACACAAGAAATGGTGGCTCAGAATGGCAAATGTGTGGTAAGTCCTATCAGGAGTGGCATCTGGCTTGCGGGTAAGTTCATTTCAACTCAGTTTCACAGAAAAAAGTACTCTGAATATATGAAGAGAGCACTATACATGCCTAACACCAGTGAATGATCTCGTCTGTGCTCTCGCAGATTTACAACTTGTTCATTGCCCAGTTTGTGACCTCAATACCTGCGATGGTAAGCAAATTTCTTCTCAATGCCAAGTGTTCTCATTATACTGTTTGAAAGCAATGCTAAAGAGATTAAGGGGACTGGTAAAAGGATCATACGAGTGTGTTTACAATGATACATGCAGGAACTATGCAAACACTAGATGCAAGGCACATTGAGTTGTTCTTGAGTGAGGGGTACCAGGATGGGAGTTGGGACTATGAGTTGCTGGGGACCCATGAGGTGAAGAAGAGAGCAGAGGGAGCAACTGCTGCAATTTTCGATATCAAACATCTCCAAGATCGCACCACCCAAAGTAAATAAGTTTACCCAACTCTTTAACTGTGATTATCAACTTAACCGGTGTAACATCATTATCTATATATTTTTCCATTGATCTCACAGCACAACCATTTATTCCCTTATATACGGAGTATTTCTCTTATAAATTAACATTTCTTTCACACATTCTTCACAGTGGTCCTTGACTTTAAGTCATGGAAGGGGAAGGAGAATGACTGGCAGCCTAAATCTATTGTAGCCCGGCACGCAGTCGCAATCAACACCAACTTACAGTTAAATGAAGGTATATAATGTCTTCTAAATTCATGAACTTCAACAACGGGCCGAGAGTGACTGTATATATGTGTTTGTCTACTTAACTACATTGGCTTAAATTCAAAGCATGTGTTTGACTAGTTAATCTGTATCGGACTTCCAGGCCTTCAGGTGAAATACCATGGCATGAAGGCAGGAAGCAATGGTGAACTAGTTGCAATCAGGATATCTCAGCAGCTACTTTAGTCACTTCTGCACAAGTGAATATGATTGATTATTCAAGCATGCGCTGAATACTCACCCATAATTTTAGTCAAGGCCTCTGGAATATATATAGGTTCTTATACCTTTCAGTTTGTTTTTAATAAGTTTTTTTATGCTTTTGTGGCTAGGTGATGTTTTAAACTTGCTAGGACCAACATGGTCTTTTTCTTCAGTATACGAGTGTAATTTCCCATTAACTTGATTTGTTTTTAGTCTTCTCGAGCTGGCGAGTGGCCATCATACCCAATATGATCTGTAATGTTACCCAAGATATGCCAAATTCAAAAACATTACCGAGAAATATTAATTTCTTCACAACTAAGATATTACCATGAGTGACGTCCCTGTCATCTTCTTGATGAAAATAGGGAGAATGACTCGGAAGTGAGAACATATCCCCCTTTTTCTATTAGAGGGTTTTTGTTTTTATGCCTGTCACTTTAAATAGTGGAGAGAAAAAAAAAAGTCACCACACTAGAAGTTGAAGAGCAAGACCCAAAAAGCAGTGACCAAAAAGATCATAGGACATAAAGAGAAAAAGGTGAAAAAAAAGTTAGAAATTATAGGAAGGATTCAATTCGATATCCAAATCAAATAAAGTAATTGTGTAGCAGTCAAATCAAAATCTGCTCATCAGCATATTTCTTTCTCACTACTAAATACATTTCCCAATGATACAGGCGAGCAGGCTAAGCATTTTATTATAATTATTTATAAATGAAAAAAAAAAACATTACTCGTAGAATTTGTCTCAGAGAAACATCCATATCATATATGACCATTTTGCAAGCAGCCCTGTTTCTCTTCATTTCACGGCAAGTATTTGCCCTCTCAAGAGCTGCCGATTGCCAACCCTCCACATGCAGCCAAGAAAGGGGGTGGGGTGTCCATACGCTTCCCTTTCGGCTTACAAAACGAGGACACGTTCATGAGCTGCGCCTACGATCCGTTGTTCACTCTGAGATGCAGCAGCAATTCCAGCAGCAGCAGCAGCAAGGTGGTTCTGAACCTCCCCTGTTGTGGAGACTTCTTCGTCCGCGGCATCGACTACCTGGCCCAACAAATCACACTCTACGACCCGAAGAACTGCCTCCCCAAGAGGTTCTTGAATCTGGACGGCCTCTCCTCTTCCCCCTTCGTGCCTTTGCATTACCGCAACTACACCTTCCTCAAGTGCCCCAAGCACGCCTCCTTGAAGAATGCCGCTAACGTCTCCTCCTTCTCCGTCATACACTGTCTCAGCAACTCCACCGTCTCCGTGGTGGCGACTTCTTCCCCAAACGTCACGAGAGCCTTGAGTGAGAACGCTTGCGAGACGTACGCTGCTGATGTGCGGGTCCCGGTCTCGGATGACTGGGTTTCCTCCTCTTCCGGTGGTGGTGGTGGTGATGATTTCAGGCTGGGATGGAGTTCTCCCGATTGCAGGTCGTGCGAGGCCGAGGGTGGCGTCTGTGCATTTGCTCCCTATGCAGATTATACCATCCAGTCTGTGGGTTGCAATTACTACAACTCCACCCTACCTCCTTCGCCCGGTAATCTGTTCACACCATCTCACTTTCTATTAGATCCTTCCCTACTAAGCTCACTTGTATTCTTCCCTCTAGAATAGAAGTTAGAGGTTACAAATTAAATGACTAATGCTAGTCTCCACTCCCCTCTCGGCTTAGGTCTCAAATAGTCGTGTTTGGTTGGGGACTAGCTTTTCGGTTCTCTCCATATGATTTGTTTGGTAGAGACAGATCAGAGACCTTGAACGTCATGATTCTCGTAATTAGGACTGGACCCTGTTTTACAAACGGACAATTCCCACGATTTGGGAATTTGACACTAAAATTTCATTTCACTATATGCCCTATGAGGTTGGGATTAAGTATGGGTAAAATGTTAGTCTCATTGTCAGTCTCTGAAACATAATCAACATAGCATGACCCCTGAAGTCTATGAGGACGATGATGATGATGGCAGTGACAATCATTTACTACAGGAAGCTCGGCAAGGAAAAAGGGGACAAGGATTTTCTTGATAAGTGTGTTGTGCATAATCTTCCCTGGTGCTATATTCATGGCCTGCACGGGGTGCTTCGCGTACATTAGGGCGCATCAGCACTACAGACACCTGATACGCTGGTCTCACACCAGCGGCGGTGGCAGGACCAGAGCAGTGCAGCCGAACCCAGATGTGGGGACCACAAGGACTGCTCCCCAAACACGGCGAGGAGAGCAGAACCCAGATGTGGGGACCACAAGGACTGCTCCCCAAACACGGCGAGGAGAGCAGAACCCAGATGTGGGGACCACAAGGACTGCTCCCCACACACGGCGAGGCGCGTGGAACCCCCTGGCAAGCCCTCAACGAGCCCTACACAGCCTGTCAGAGCAAGAGACATTCGCCCCCAGACGGACAAACATAGACATCAGACTCTACACTATAAGGGTGTACCGCGAAGAAGATGGGGGGATACTCCCAAGGCCGGGGCAGAACACTTGTGCCATTTGCCAAGAAGATTACCAGCCGGAACAGGGACTAGGGTTGATGCATGGCTGTCAGCACTCCTTCCATGTCCACTGCCTTGCCACATGGTTGCAAGCCAAGTCCACATGTCCCATTTGCAGGAATTCTCCATTTTGCCCCCAAGATATTGTAACCCTTGGGACGACTGATATGGCGATTCAACGGTCACAGACCACTGGCAGCAGCAATTGGAACTTTGACTTTTTTTGGACTCCTCTCAGAAACAATACACCTATGGTGTTTGAAGACGATGGCAGGCAGCTTCCAAGTGCCAACCCTTACATGTCCGCTTTGTAGGGAATCCCCTTCCTCCAATTGTTGTGTTCACAAATACCTGGCCTGATGCAATTTTGTAAAAGCAGCTATTTGCAACTCTGAACTATCATTTATATATGTCACTATGAGCACTTCAACCCCTCTTTTCTGTCCAGAAAAGGAGGATATTCTTTCAACTCTAACAAAAAGATTAACTAATTCACATTGGAACTCGCAAGTCAAGCATTTTTTTAATATTTCATTTAACAAGCAAACGTAGTAGTGCACAATTTGCCATAGTTATATTTTACAGCAATTAAAATGGGTACACAAGATTGAGATACTTTTCATTGATGTATTCTTTCGGGACCAAAAACAAAGAACGAAAAACGAAGTTTGTGTTCTCCATATTGCATTCAACACAGAATGTACATGCCAAACAACTACTAACTCATTTCTTGCAAAACAGCTTCTTTGGAAGCTTTTCCAAAGGTGTGATTTTGAGAAGGAATAGCCTGGATGCACGCTCTTGCAGTGTCCCCCCACACTTCAATCCCCGAGCTTGAAGTTCTGATTTAAGCCTATCCATGCCAAGAACCTAAATCAAGTATACAGAAAAAAGAAAAGATAAAAGAGAAATTCAGCTACGAATTGCATACAACAACAAATCAACATTACCTAACTCAGATGAGTAAAGCTATCATCAACTGAAAGTGTATTCGGGGAATTAACCATTACCATTGCATTGCATCAAAATGACCATGCCACTATGATTTTCTGATAATTAACCATATTCAGTGCATTTACTATGTTGCATTTCTGCTTTAAAGAGAAACTGATTTCCATGACAATTTTACAAATCTACAATTCCATATCTTGGATTTCTGAAATCCTCACATCTCCACAATGGTATCAAAAGCTTCCACTATATCAATGTACAGAGGACAGAAGATTAAAATACACGTGTGTTTCAATTATTATGATAATTGACGACGTACCTCCAGTTCTGCAGAAGAATTTATTTCACCAAAATTCAGGGGCATAATGATATCTTTCTCGGGAGCAGATACAGAAATTTCTACTTCTTTGGCAGCAACATTAGAGTTTGAGTTACTGCCGGCATCCAATACAGAAGTTCCATTGCACACAGAAGCAACCTGGATAATGGGTGCGACAACCACTTCCTCAGCAAGAACAGGCTCAGAATTGCATGCCACTTCATTATCAGATTTGATAGTTTCCGAAGAAGATGTGCTTCCAAGTTGAAGTTCCCTTTCTTGATCCGGAGTCGGTGTGGTCTCCTTTTGCCCTTCATCCTGAGCAGTTACCACTTCAGTACTTGTTACACAAACTTCAGGACTCTCCTCTCCAGTTTTTACCTTCTCCTCCTCAGAGCTACCCCCATCACTTTTCCCAAACATAACTGAGTTTTCGCTTCCATTTGCTTCTGCACTCGAGTGAGAACAGCTCCCATTATCTATAACAACAGAAATCACATCCTCTCCATCTTTTTCATCGTCACTGTCATCTGAATCTTCACTATCACTGTCAGTATCATCCACTTTTCTCTTACCCTTCCTGACAAAAAAAACAAGAAATAAGAAATGGTGAGAACCAAACAGCATACAATCATGACTGGACCAGGAAAATCTATGCAAGGTGATAATCTGATCAACAGAAAAAACACATGGATACTTAGGTATGAGCATTACAACTAGTTAAGATCAGAAGAGTTCAGAAAGAGATTACCATATTTTAAGCTTCTTGGCGTCTGATTTATTATTCAGGCCTGCAGCTTTCCTTTTAGAACCCAGACAACCTTTAAGAGATTCCTTCACAGACTTCTCAATCTCCAGCACATACCTTTCGGAGTCCTCTCTGTACTTGGCCACATACTTCTCTGTGCTCTCCCCTGTTTTACTCCCACCATTAATTCCCTTCTTAGCCAACTCCTTGGCCTTTTTCTTAATAAAGTCCTCCGCAATCTTCTCCATCCTCCGTTCCTCCGTTTCAGCCAGCCATTCCTCCATTTTCTTCTCGGCCATCACGTGCCTAAGCCTCCTTCCACTCATATCCCGGCAAGCATCGAAATTGTTGGTCTTTTTCTGCCCGGCTTTGGTTGCCGCCCCTCTAAGCAAGGACCCAAACCCTCCTTTTCCTCCTCTCAGTCGCAGCAAGACGTGCACCACCACGGGGAAACAGCCGGACCCATTGCTCGACCCGCTTCGCGAAACGGATGCTTGGTGTGACCCGGTCGTGAAATCGAGCGATTGGTGGTCTTGTAAAGGGCAGCGAGAGCTGGAGGATAGCAAAAGCTGGAGAGGGGCAGGGATTAGGGTTAGCGTTTGGATTTGCTCTTTTAGGGCTTGAACGGATACGGATTGGCAGGGGAAATTCAGGGTTTTGTGCTTGCCGTCGAGGAGCTTGACGAGGACTTGGTGGACGGCGTTGGTTTCTTGCATCCTCTCCTGGCGATGGATTTCGATTGATGATTATCTGAATCGCCTGCAGAGAAGATGGGGACGAGAAAAGGGAAAGGGACAATCGGCAATTTACATTCAAAATTATATACGCTTCTCGTAACAGTTTCAACATCTCACATTATCATTTTTTAAAGAATTAAGCTAGGGGTACACCAACATGGGGTACCCAAGTGTACACCAAGCCAACACAGACACATACAGACACAAAGTGTCTGTGCACAGACACTTTGTGTCTGTGTGTGTCTGTGTTGGCTTGGTGTACACTTGGGGTACCCCATGTTGGTGTACCCCTAGCATTGCCCTTTTTTAAAAGAGACATGCTAGGGGTACACCTTTGGTGTACCCCATTTGTCCCCCATTCCTTTCTCTACCACTCATTTTAATTCTATTTTTATTTATTTAATTTTTTTTTTAATTTCTTGTCCATTTTTGTGGTAATGGAGGGGGTGGGGGACAAATGGGGTACATCTTTGGTGTACCCCTAGCATTTTTCTTTTTAAAAACTACTAGTATTTTGACTCGTGCAATGCACGGAGTCGAACAAAATTTTTCTTGAATTCGATTTTTTTCAATGTAATACTTTCTCCGTTCCACAAAATCTTTCTCCTTTCGTTTTTTTTGAATTCCTTAATGATATATATATATATAGACACACACACACTCCCTCCCTCCATCCAAAAAACTTCCCGTTTGACCAGACACGCAAATTTATGTGATGAAAATTGTGTTGACTTTCTTATTATATCCCTCAGCCCTATTTTCCCTCCACAGCTTTGAACCATCAACGGGTGTTGCCAACGCCAACGACACTTCACTGCCGACCACTCTCTGGCACCACTGCCGAGGTTGTTGTCGCCGCCCCTCCCCATCCACAACCTCCCGCCATCGCAACCCCCCTCCCACCGCCGTCGTCGCAGACCCGCAACCTCCTGCCATCCTAACGCAGAAATCTATTTTTGGACTTACCCATCGCAGATCTAAGAAAAAAATGTCATTTTCGTGTAGATCTAGATCTGGTCATATCTAGCAGTGGAGGTGCCCATCTAACTCCACCCAATATTGTCACGCTCAATGGGGGAGAAGGAATAATAAAAAGAAGGATAAAGAGAAAAAGATTGAAGAAGAAAGAAAAAGAAATCGGAAGTAGTGGAGGAAGAAGGAAGAAGAAAGAAAAAAATGAAAAAAGAAAAAAAATGGAAGAAGAAAGAAAAAGAATGGGAAGAAGAAGTAGAGGAAGAAGAAATAAGAAAGTAAAAAATGATGAAGAAAGAAAAAGGTGAAAGAAGAAGAAAAAAAGAATCGGAAGTGGAGGAAGAACAGAAGAAGGAATAAGAAAGAAAGAAAAAATGAAAGAAAAAGAAGACGGGAGAAAAGAAAGAAAAAGAAATGAGGAAGGGGAGTTAAGGGTAAAGAAGACTTTTTACAAATAAAAACTTGCCTAAAATGGAAATGGAAAGTTCTTTTGTGGACGAACGAAAAAGAAAAGTGGGAAATTTAATTGTGGATGAAGGGAGTATGCATGCATGCATGTGTGTGTGTGTTTATATATATATATATATATATATATATATATATATATATATATATATATATATATATATATATATATATATATATATATATATATATATATATATATATATATATATATATATATATATATATATATATATATATATATATATAGACACACACGCACACACGGAGTATATAGTTAAAAAAAATAGTGAAAATGACCACTATAACAATGTCAAATGGCCAATACACTTTTGGAAGTTTTACATCATTGGGAGTTTACGCACATTCCCTACAAGCAGACTGAAATGCATAAACTTTGTTACCCACTTCCACCAAAATGCCTGTCCATATGTTGCTACTGGAAAGGCCGCAGCTATGATTTAAATTTGCTTTGGAAAAAAAACATACAAATGGAGTAGTCTACAACTCTACAACAACAAGACATGTAAGTGCAACGGCTCTATATCCTACGATACCATCGGATCTTTTGATCAAAAGTATGTGGGACGAAGAGACCCCATGGCAATGGGAGGAGGATACATTGCTTCATCATTTACGGTTCCAGCTTGATAAAAAAGATTAATAGGGGGCCCCTTAACTTTCCAATTGCAAATCTACCCCAATATTTACACCCTCCTGCAATCGAGGCCATGATACGCAAAATTAACATGTCATAGATTCATAATATATCTGCAGAGATTTAAGTAGAAATTGTGTTGCCCTGTTATCTTTAGCCTGTCATTGCCTTTGGTAAGAAACCAATTCCAAGAGCTTATATTACCACTTTTCAAGATGCTCGTATCATGTGTTACCAAATCAAACAAACTCAGTGTGTCCCACTCAATTGTAGGTTCTGACGGTCAAAATATCAGCAGACTTTACCTCTACCCCAAAGAGTAGAGGTTGGTTCCATGCTCATATCATGTACATTGTATTACATAAAGCTGATTGCATTTAGTTCATGAATTATATGATGTTAGTCATTTCAGTGCATGGCTGTCTTTTTTAAAACAAATACGACTCTTAGCTGTGTCATATTGTATTATCGAACCTCAAAATATGTGTTTATATCTCACCTTCTCAAATAGTTTTGTCTGTGTTGGGTTATCTATTTTGGCATAAACAATTCATAGTTGTGTTTTTAGTCCTTGAAATCTATATTTCAAGCCCAACTTCATGACTCTCGGTATTTGTAACGGAGTAATAAAAAAACACGTTATATAATAATACGGAGTATTAAACAAAATGAGAAAACAAGTGATTACCTCTGATGGCATGGTGAAGACGGTTGGTCAGGAGAGGACTGCTGCTGCCCGTGAAACCTGCCATGTTCAAAAGCTGTCCTAGGTCTAGTCCCTTCCCCTAGCAGGTGCTGTTCATTCAGGCCTGAGAACCCTACTGGTCCAAACGATCCAAACTCTAGTGGCTCTCCTTGTGAACCATAATTGGCGGGGTGGTGGTCATATGATGGATATATCATTACAACAGGACCATTGGGCCCACCATTAGTAGACCCTCCCATAGCTGCACTGAATGGATGCATACCATATGCTATGTTCGAAGCACCACTATGATTCGAATTAGTAGCATGAAAAGGACCATTCTGTGACGGGAAAGAGTGGAAAGAGTCCGTTCTATAGGAGCTGTTCCATGGCCTATCAAGTCGGCTCTCGCCGGAAGGCCAACGATCCAATCTTGAGTTTGACTTTTCAGATGGATTGCGGTTGTGGCCCCCACGTCCAGCACCTCTTGTCTTTAAATTCCAGTTTCCCTCTCTGTCATCATTTCTCTCACTGTTGTAATTTCCACGTCGGGTACCAGAGGAGTTTCTATCCCTTGCAGAAACCTTCTGAAGAAGAAAAGCAAATTACAAATGTCATCATAATCCAGTTGAGAGTAATCAATTAAAATAAATTCCCCATAAAGTGAAAGATCAAACAATAAACACTAATTTGCATTAAGAGCTGAAAAGTTTCCACTTTTAAAGGCCACAGCTACTAGGTCATTCTCACATTTGCTCCCCGGCTTTTTCCCTCTTTTGGTGCACGGCTATGGATGTCCTGCCATTTTTTATCATTTACCGTCACAATAAATATGACACCACTTCACAATGAATACACATAGTAATGTTTTTTTCATCAATAAAAACAACCCAGTATAATCCCACGGGAGTCGGGTCTGGGGAGGGTGTCTAATCCCCAAGTTAAAAAATCAAGTTATCTGTCTATACAAACTTTAATCTTTCTATTCTGTGGCTATGATCTTATAAAGACAAATCAATGTATTTTGAAATGCTAATCTTGTTAGCATTTGATTATAATCTTATACAATTGTATTTAAAATGGGAACCTTATTTTCGAAAACACTCAAAGGAAAACAATAACCTTTTTTGGGAAAGAGGGAGTACATTACAAATTGAAGTTTTCTTCGAAGGAGAACTAAAAAAACAAAATATTATTAAAACGTGGAGGACTAAAAATGGTGGTATCAATAACCTAAAATTTCCCCGTAACCAGGAGACCAAAAGTGTCATCCTCCTATTAGAATTTCTTCCTCAAAAAAGTAAAAGGGCCATCAATAAACATCACTTGCAATAAGAGGTTTATGCTATATCTTTAAAAAGACAAGACCCAATTCAAACAGCAACTGAGCTCATTTTAAACAGTTTAAGAAGAAAAACAAATCTTACAGGATGGTTCGGTAGATAAGTGCCGGTCCCACTGCGATACCTAGGTATCTCATCAGCATAACGTTGAAACATATTTGCAGGTCTATCAGACACAGATTGGATGGATGACACGGGAACCAGACGGGGACCATAGCTCATTTCAGTGTATAGGTTCCCATTGGTTGAGACAGGTCTTCCGGGACCATCCCAAGGGAACCGACCCTGAAGATAAACAGGTGGTACCATCATGGGCGATGGATAAACTAGAGGGCCGGGAGGGTATCTTGGGCTTTGGCAAAACCTTCCATACTGTAAGTTTTGCCAATGGCTGGCAAAGTCACTGTTAAGAATGTCAGATTTGTGTGGTTCATCAGAATGATTCATCAAAACTTCAGATGATGAATCAAAGTTCTGACCAGAATCACTATTGTCATTGCTTCCTTCTTCCCCACTTAAATGGCTTGTACCGGCCTTGGGTGGGATGTTGTATACAGGAAGCATTGTGAAAAATGGAACAGGTGGGCCAGTAGGGTAAAATGCAATAACTCCAGGGGAATTATCGGCCAATATTTGTTGAGAGCTGGGATTAATGAGCATTGGAGCAATAGGTATCATTGAATCTGATCCGCTTGTTTGAGCTCCATGCCCTACTCTTTCTGCTACTTCAGTTTTCCATTCCTGATCATCATCTTCATTTTCATTGTTAGGTAAAGTCATCATTTTACCTTTTACATAACCAGGTGGTGCCTCTACAGCAATCGCCTTCTTTCCCCTTCTATCCCTGGCTGATTTTGAAGATTTTGCAGATGATCCGTCCCAAGAACTCTCAGAAGAAGCCTTACTGTGGGCAGTAGATGACAGTCTAGAGCTAGCCATTCTTTCTTCGACATAAAAAACCTCATTATTAACTCCATTATTGTGATGAACCTGGGAATTATCAAACCGATGGTTTTCCTTGGGATGCTGCTTTGATTGATATCTCACCCAAGGAGAAACAAAGTTAGACTTCTGATTTTCTAACTGGTTCGTTTCAAAGTTACCAACAGTTGAACCTGCATCATGATGTTCGGGCCACGAATCATTTTCAGCGTCACTCGAGTACATTTCTGTTGAATTGATAAAATTTTGATTGTTGGGCTCAATAGAATCTTCAGAAGTTGAGCTCAACCCAAGCCCGGGGAAATACTGGGTCATGTGGGGTGGCACTAATGCATGTGGCAATTGAACATTTGAAAATGAAGGATCAATCATGGGGAAATTAGCATGAACAAATCCAGGCATGTTGTGTTGAGGGTATCCCATGGAAGCTAGAAAAGAAGGTGAGAAGGGGACAGGAAGGTGGGGGGATGATATATTAAATGGGAGTTGCTGAACTTGACCGTTATTAAAACTATGGAGTGAAGTTGAAGCCATCATATTCACAACATCTTGCTGCTCTTCCTCTTGCAAAAAAGTTCGTGCACCTCCAGGTGAAGAAAGTTCTTCATTCAAGCCCGAAGAGTCATGGTTTGATCCACTGTTGGAATTAGTTGCGGCATCTATAGAGCAACCACTGTTGGTAGTTGAGTTTTCAGATCCCCCTGCATTTTTCATCCTGTTCTTAATAGTACTCTCCAGTTTTGTTGGATTGGTAGCACGCATTTCAAATCCTTCTGGCAATCTGCCACGATACGAGTCTGTTAGTTCGGGGCTGGATTGAGTTCTGGCAAACACAAACCTTCCTTGGATGTCATTCACCAAATTCTCAGATTTTGAACTTCTTTGACTTCTATCAGTTTGCATCTCCTTACGAGAGGTGGTCGAATTTCTATCACTTCTTTGGTTTAGAGAATGTGAAGTAGGATTCTCATGCATTTTGGCAGTTGGGCTGAACTTCAAGTTCTCAGCTTGAAGAAGATGATCAGATGCTGGTGCATCGGGGCGGTCGCCAATGCCATATCTTTCCCATGTATTCATGAAAAACTGATTTATTTCATTGATAAGATTTTCTTTTGGACAGTCTAGCAATCTTGCCAACCTTTTGGCACCAAATGTGAATGCGCTGCGTATCCTGAAAAAATTTCCTGCCAGCAAATCAAAGAATCCACATTAAACCAGCACTCAGAAATTCAGCAAACAAAGTTTCCTTATAACAAAAAAGGAATACAGAATAACAACCAAATACATTATGATGAATCCACCTGGTAGAACAATAACTAACGCAAACAGAGCCTTTCTTAATTTCACTTTATAAAAAAAACTCACAGACCGAAAAATAACAATGTCTTGTAATTCAATATGACTACGAAAACAATCTCAACTAATCTCTTTCTCATAATATGTTTCATGCATGTAGGAAAAAATTGATACGATAATGAATCAAAGATTGACAGTTTTGAAATTTCATCTCATTATTCCTTTGTTCTAACATGAAGGGCATCCAGCAAAAACTTTGACATTGTGCTTTATTTGCATGAACTTAGAGTGCTGATTAATTGTAGAGATTTTAAAAAAATTAAATTTCAGGCCACTCACCCCATAAGGTGATGATGATGATGAGTGATGACAGTGTATAAACATTAAAGTCACAAGGTAATTGAGCAAGGGAACATAAGAAATGGGTGGGAGAAAACTATATCACTAACTTAAAATAGAAAAAAAATAGATATGAGATAAAGGGTGTGATAGTTAAAAGCTTTAGATACCTTTACTGACACTGCGTCCAAGGTTGTTGTTTACCCGCAATGGGTCAATAACATTAAAATGCTTAGAAACAAAGGGTTGTCCTGGATTTTCCTGGCTGCCAGGAAAAACAGCATATACAGTGCTACAAGCATCCAAAAATCCTTTGGTGAGAAGCAATTCTCCGCTATCTTTTCGAGGAGGCTCAGCTGTAAGATATGACTAAGATAAACATCACCCATAGAATCAAACAGCATATGATATTAAATGAGAACCACACATTCTATTACCATCTACATCTGGGAGTGATCTGATGGGTACAGGGCCCCACAAGCTGACACAAAAATTATCCCAGTCAAAGTTGCTGAAGAACTCTAAGAAGCGGTACAGCACCTGCAAGTTTAAATATTTTTTAGATGTTCTGGATCAGAGCTAAAGAATGAAAACCTTGAAAAGGCACTGTCTATATTATGGATCATAAATAAATCACAATAGCAAACCTCAAGTGGTCCAGTAAAAGACTTGTTGAAGACATGAAATATGTAAAGAACTAGGGTCTCCAGGGCATAAGTTGAAATAAGACCATGATGAGCACCTAGTATACGGCTTTCATAATAACACCATGCCTTGATCAAAATGATACTGCGCTTAAACAAATGGTTCTGGCTTATCAAGTGATCAACCTAAAAGAGAAACACACAGTAAAGTAAAGTTAAGTTTTGTACAATTTCTGCGTTATTAGAAACCAAGAAAACACTACTAACCTCCTCCAGGAAACAGAGAGTGCACAATCCACCAAGCTGATTAAACGATATGTCAACTACAATATTTTCTACCAGACATTTAATTAATTTCACCTGCCAAAATAGTATTCAAATAGAAATATATAAACAAGGTGAGACAATTAAACTTCTACTTTCTTAAATGAATTCCAAAAGAGCGTATACACTATATACTATTTGTTTCCTGTGTTCCAAATCAAGAATAAAAAGGGTATAAATTAGATGTGGCGCAATTTGACTGTTCCAAATTTATTTTTTTGAGATTATTAAACTTTCTTAAATGATTTATTGGAGAGCATATACCTTAACTGTTTACTATGTTCAATTTTATAAATCAAATAAAAGGGGTAGAAATTAGGGGTGGGCATTAATATATCGTTCGGAATTTGCAGGTGAGCTCCACTGGATATGGTGTTTGATATTCTTAAATGTGACATATTTTAATATAAACTCGACTCAGATATCGAGGGTGAAAGTATGCATAAGCAGTTATACTTGGTGTGTAGACCCAGCCTCCCAGACCCATTTATGGGACTTTACTGGGTTGTTGTACCCATAATTATGCATGAAAGTATATATATATATATATATATATATATATATATATATATATATATGCTACAAAAAATATACAAAATAAATGTAAAATACCTTATGAATTAATTGAGTATTGTCTTAAAGGCTTAAAGCCTGATACTTTCTTCTTGTAATTTGAGTTCGATAGTGTATAAGAAGGATAATGTAAGTAAACTAACAATAAAACATCGAATTTGAAGTTCTGGGCATATACGTCAAGCTGTTTTTTAATAAAAGCCAAGGTGAGTCCATGGTTGAAGGATGCTATGGAATTTGTGCTAGCTGTTATAGGAAATGTGGGAAGAAATTCTGCTATTGGCAGTTTACGAAGGCACAATATGCGTGGAATTTTGTGCATCCTTCATTCATAAAATGATACCAAAAATGCCAAAAATACAAATACCCAGATTGAACATTTCCTGAATCACTACTTAGTTCATATATGAAATATCCAGAATATTGTTAGAAACAAAATTGGATGCCTCTCAGACTGGTGCACATTCCCTAGTCAAAACAATCTTCTTGAAATATATATTTACATATTTAAGTGCTTATTAATGATGAGAAACCAAAAAAGAGACAATGTCACGATGCATAAAAAATCCAACTCCGTAAATTGAACAAGGGAGTAAAAAGAACGTGACATTCATGCATATTAATTACACTTCTGTTCAATTGAACTACAGCAATGATTATGTTTATGTTTCTTATCTCCCAAGACACCTTTCTTTTGCCTGAGAAATTCTACAGGCAAGAGACGTATGGTCAAGTATCAGTTTATTCACATTTTCATATTCCAAAGAAGAACACAATATAATCCAAAATGCAAATTATAGAAAAGCGCAACAGAATCTCAGTCTTATTATGATAATAGGTGAAGAAATGAAAATATATGGTATAAAAGAGCATCAGCCTTCTTGAAGTTCATCACAAACAAGTCATATCTTCCAGTACAGAAATAAGCATTAGATGGACTATTTACAGATGCACTTCTGCATTATAGAGAAAAAGATTGTGGAGGGAGCAACTTACTTCAGCCTGAATGTACTGCACCTCCTTCACACGAAACTCAGCATTCTCATTTTTCTCCTCTTTCTCTAGTGTATCACGAACCTGATGAGCCCATGTATCTTTCAAACTCTGATTATCACTGAATGCAGTTAGATCAATATCTCCATCCGGTAAATAAGTCTTCAAAGGCACCGACCCAAAAGTAAAAACCTGGGGACAAGACAGACTTAAATGTTACTAATTCACCAATAATAACCTTAAAACCTGGGGAAGAGTCTAATCCACTGCTGATCGCGCCCATGAAAACTTAAGTTCCCTGCACCAATTTTAATTTGAATATATATCCCAAACTGCCATGGAAATATATTAACTATCTTTATTGGCATTGGCAGTTTTAACATCTCATAATGTATCCAATGAACCCAGAGGTTATACATACCACACAATATTGGATAATCGAACAGCGTATTAATTAATCTAACTATTAATGCCAACAGTATTGTGTGGTAAACACCAATACAAGAGAAACTGAATGACAACCTCAACCTGGCATGGGAAGCACTTAGTGATAAGCCGTTGGACATAATCAGCAACTGCATTTCTACGCTCCTCCGATGGTTTGTTGGGCTGAATTCGAGCAATGAGGTGAGCCGTCGTCTCCTCTGCCTTCAACCATCTCTCCGGGTCCACACCCTGTATGACGGGATCAGCATTTGCCAATAGCCCATTTGGCAAAAGTCGAGTAGCCTCAGCCCATCCTTCATCTTCACCCATGTCACAATCAAAATCCAAACTTTCTCACGAGCAATTCACTCCACAGAGTACTCCCCCAATTCCAACTCCAGCCAAATCAGTGTAGCAAGGAACCTCTTGTTATTTATAGAGTATAAAATAAAATCAACGAATCCTGACCATCCAGCAAAACAACTTCTTTCTATACGATGAACAAGAAAAGCTTATAAACACGAATGAAAAAATCGAGTCATTCTAGACCAAGAGATGCGAGAAAATTCGTAGAGAGAGATGAAACCCTAGGAGTAGATTGGCGGATTTAAATCTCTGAATCTAAATCCATTCAGGCGTGCGCAGAGCGGACAGCAATGTCGAGCAAATCGCATAAACCCTAAATGATGAACTTCAATATATGAATGAAGATTGGATGGATGCCTACTTTTGGGAAAAGTGATTATGGCGAGCAGAAGTATATGAATTGCAGATTTTTCTTTTCCTAAAGTGGGAAGAAAAAACGAAAGCCTTTTTCTTGGCTCTGAGTGGAGAGGAAAACAAAAGAGGTTTGAAAGAAGAAGAAATCAAATAGACTGGGAGAATTGCTTCGACTCTTGTGGGCTGTAGGAAATGTTGTGTGTGGGGGTTGTTCTTGGGATGCATCACAAGAATGTCTATATGAATTTATTTTTCTTTTAATTAACTAAAAATTAGTAGCCTTGTTGTTTGTCCTCCTCGCTTAATGGTTGAAGAAGAATTTAAATTCATTTTTTTTTCATTTTGGAAATACTCTCTTTTTTTTTACAATTTATGCTAAAAACACACCATATACAAAATCATGACAATTTCGTAGTTAATAAAATCTCTAATTCCCATTGCAGTTAGGGATGTAAAAAAATCAAATATTTCAAATATGATTCGTGATTCGTATTTAAATATAATGTTTCAAAATTGTAAAATTCATATAAGAATTCAAATATTAGTTTTGATTCAAAATTTAAACAAATACAAATTCAAATATAGACGTGTTCGACTCGAATGCTATTCGAATGTATGTACGCACATGCCATGTTTTTTAATTCAGTATTCAAGCAAACTAATATCATATAAAGTGCATTTAAATTACTGAGATTTTGTCAAATTAACAGAACACAAAAATCTAAAGCGCATGTTGTTTAATAGTTACTTCCTCCGTCCTAAAACTTTCTTCCCAGAGTACTGTTCTAACTTCACGGAAATTTGTATTTATTTGTGTTTTTAATGGCCTATATGATAAAATAAAATATTCTTGTCACCACTTATTTTGTTGAAATTTTGATGTAGTTTTTAAATATATATGTTTTATTTTTTATTTCTATACCAATATTTAAATAAAATAGATTGAAAAAAACTTGGGATTTTTCTTCGTTTTGCGCAACGGGAAGAAAGTTTTAGGACGAAGGGAGTAAAATATATTTTGTGCAGGACGCAAATGTATCAATGGTTTTAGATAGGAAAAATTACCTAAAATAATCCCAACATTACCCGGTCTTTCAAAAATAATCCCACCTTTCACTGTGATGCATAATAATGCCAACTTTACTGAAATTTGTCAGTTTTGAGTTGCCGTTAAGTTTCTAACGGAGGGTTAACGGAAATGCCCATTTTAGGCAACAAAATGAAAGTTGGGATTATTTTTGATGAATTTTTGTTTTTTAATTTTTTTTTTTGAAATTTTCATTTAAATTTTTTAAATTACTTTCTACCTCCATCGTCATTTCTTTTTCCTTTTTTAAAGATTAGTCTTAGTTTAAAAAATAAAAATAATAGATATAAAAAATGAAAAAATGAGAAATGTAACTAAAATGATACAAAAATAATAAAACAAATAAGGTAATCAATGGAAACTAACTTCAAATTGGTAAAAGTAAAATAAAAATATACGGGTGGGTTTTAATATTTTACGCATTATACAAAGTATTAACATATCACTTCTTATTTTTTAGAAAAAATTATCTAAAATAATTCCAACTTTACCGGACGGCTTGTTCTTTTAAAAAATAAGTACTCCCTCTGTCCTGCTATATTCGTTCACTTTTGACTTTTGGAACTGTTCNTTTTCATTTAAATTTTTTAAATTACTTTCTACCTCCATCGTCATTTCTTTTTCCTTTTTTAAAGATTAGTCTTAGTTTAAAAAATAAAAATAATAGATATAAAAAATGAAAAAATGAGAAATGTAACTAAAATGATACAAAAATAATAAAACAAATAAGGTAATCAATGGAAACTAACTTCAAATTGGTAAAAGTAAAATAAAAATATACGGGTGGGTTTTAATATTTTACGCATTATACAAAGTATTAACATATCACTTCTTATTTTTTAGAAAAAATTATCTAAAATAATTCCAACTTTACCGGACGGCTTGTTCTTTTAAAAAATAAGTACTCCCTCTGTCCTGCTATATTCGTTCACTTTTGACTTTTGGAACTGTTCATTTAAGCACTTTGACTCATCAAATTCTCTCAATGTGTAAGCATAAATATAGTCATGTGTGATTTTGTTTGATTTGTCTTAGCATATAGATTATTAATATATAATTTCTATAATTATTTAATATACAAATTACAAGATAAAATGGATTAAAGAAGTGTATTGCATGGTGTGTAAAAATGAAAGTGGACAAATACTCTGGGACGGAAGAAGTAGTACATTAAGACTCCGTATAGTGTGTAAAATGTTAAAACTCACCACTCCGTATATATTTATTTTATTTCTTACCAGTTTCTGTTTAATTTCTATTGATTACATTATTTATTTGATTAATTTTGTATAGTTTTAGTTATTTTTCTCATTTTCATTATTTTTTATATCTATTTTTTTCTAAGGTAAGAATAATCTTTAAAAAAGAAAAAGAAATTGAGGTTGAAAGTAATTCAAAAATTTTAAATAAAAATTTCAAAAAAAATTAAAAAACAAAAATTCATCAAAAATAATCTCAACTTTCCTTTTGTTGCCTAAAACGGGCATTTCCGTTAACCCTCCGTTAGAAACTTAACGGCGACCCAAAACTGGCAAATTTCAATAAAGTTGGAATTATTATGCATTACAGTGAAAGGTGTGATTATTTTTGAAAGACCAGGTAAATTTGGGATTATTTTGGGTAATTTTTCCTTTTAGATATCGTATAAGAAATATTACAAGTTAAATTATTTAAAATCGATGTGGGTCCATCATATAAACTACGGACTATGATTATTTGAAGGGTTTTTCTTTGATGCCTTCCTAAATCAAGGGGTATGGATGCCCTTCCATTTAAAAATTGCCATGTGGACAAATGACAATAATATTTAAATTAATCTAATTAAAATTTGCTATGTGGACAAATGATAAAATGACCCTCTAAATCATACTCTGTGTAACATATCTTAACCTACCATCCATTATTATTAATTTAGTTTCTCTTTTTCATACTCTTAGTTCATTCATTTTTCTTTTTTATTTTTCAATATGAGCACGTAATTTCATTCTTTTCATTTTCAAATTTATCCCCCAAACTTGGTTCATTATAGCTACTTTTTTCTTAGAGGCTAATTTTAAAATAGTTTTTACTGAAATTCATATTCACTCTTCTTCGTCTTATTAAACGGATTTTGAATTTAAATTTTTGATTAAATATATTTTGGTCCATGGAAAATAAGTGACTTTTATTAAATATTGTTTTGTTAAGTCATCCTTACAAAAAAATTATTTTTAAAATGGTCCTTAAAAATAATTTTTAACATTTATTTCGTACTAAATATATCATAGTCTTGCATTTCTACTATCTCCAATACAATTTGCATGCTCTAAGTTCTATCCTTATTTCTATTATATCTCCAATTTCTATTTTTTTAGAAATATAGTAAAATAAAATTTAGAAATTAAGGATGTAATTTGATGCAGAAGATGACTACCTATGCCGTGAGAGTTGTGTATGAGGTAATTAGAAATATAAAATAAAGATGTTGAGTATGAAATAAATGTGATATCTTGACAAATACTAAAAAATGTAAATTATATGATGGGGACGTGGGAGGTTGTGCATTAGTGGGAGTATTATTTACTCCGTACGTTTTTTTCCACTACATGGGAATGATGATCGTGCATGATGGTGCATTATTCTGTTATTATTTGTGCTAATTATTTTTTGCAGTTACGATTATACTTAATTATTGTAAACATTACCATTATCATACTTATATTATTATTTTATTATTATTATTATTATTACTCGGTGTTATTATGAGTGTGGTGGTGATGTGTAGTTGATTTTCACTTTTTACAATTCTTATTATTGTTAATAATTACGGAGTAATAGGTTTTTATTGCCCACTGTCCATTTTTTATACAACTGAATTAGCCCAACGTAGTGTATGAATTAATGGCCTCACTCATTAATTAAAATGGCCCATCATTTGGCCCAAAACATTAGGCGGGAAAATATCTTTGCTTCTTTTGTATATATAAGTAGATAGATTGAAAAACGATAATCAATAACAAGTCTCTTGACTCTACAAATAAAATGTTTCAGCGGGAGAGAGAATGAATATTTAATTTTACTCTTGGGAACATGTACAGTTTTTAAATAAGGTAATAAATATATTGAAAAGATTTTATCGGATATAAGCCAGTATATAATTTGTTGTGTTTATAGTATTTACTTATCATCTCTGACTCGTATATTGTGTACAATTTATAGCATTAGAGTGGATATCATTTTGGCTCCCTTTCCATTCCGTTCCCTCTCCTCCAATCAAAGTAGGGCCTAAAATCAATATCTAGAATACCATAGCAATGAACCCGCACATGCTAAAAAGAAATACATGTTCTTAATTTGATTATATTTATTACGGAGTATATTTTTTCTCTCTCTTTTGATAATTTTTTCTGTTTACGCAATTTATTAATTATTTGATAAAATAAAATATTCTTATCATCTCTTATTTTGTAGAAGTTTTGATGTAAATTTTTAAAATGCAATTTTTATTTTTATCGATTTGTAAATATAATGATTCCAAAAAGTGAAATATTTCTCTTCGTAAACCCCAATTTGCAATCAAATTGGGGCCAAAGAGAGTACCATAGAGAGTTATATATTTCTTTTCTTGCGGAAATAGTTTAGGTAAAAGTAAGTGTACCCTAAAGTTACATCATTTTCATTTTTTGGAGAATATTTTACAATCGAATTTTGTGTTTGTGACTCTTTGTGATATACCACCATTTTTTTAAGGGATATGCTAGGGGTACACCAAAAAGTGTATCCTAAATGTACACCACCCTCCTACTAACCATTCATTTTATTTTGTTTTTATTTTTAATTTTTTTTGAAAATTTCTTGCTTTTTTTGTGCGGTGATGGAGGGGGTGGGAGATGTTTGGGGTACACTTTTGGTGTACCCCTAGTATTTTCCTTTTTTTAATGTGCACATAAGTTTCATCTATATATGAAATGCAAAAAACATGAATCACTACGCTATGTTTTTTATAATAACACAACTTTAAGTATAATAACATTCAGATCAGATTATACTCCCTTCGTCTACAAATAAAGTTCTCATTGCGCGTTACGATGTTTGACTGAAATTATTTTCAAATCATTTTATATGAAAAATGGTATGGAATTAAAAAATTAAAATTATATATTTAAAAACTACATGAAAAGATCTACAAAACTAGTAGTGACATGACTATACTCCCTCCGTCCTATAATGTTCTTCCCGGTTCTGTTTACGAAGTTTGACCGACTTTATTTTTAATTTAATTTATTTGATTGTAGGTATAAAATTAAAAAATAAAATTTATATATTTAAAAACTACATCAAAAGTTCTACAAAACAAGTGGTGATAGGACTATATTATTTTATCAAATACCTAATGAAAATAGGTAAAGAAAGTGATTAAAGTTTGACCGTGTGAATACTAAGTGGGTGAACATTTCAGGATGGAGGGAGTATTATTTTATCAAATAAGACACAAAAATAGGTCAACAAATTGAATAAAGTTTGACCATGTGAATAGTGAATGAGAACTTTATTGTTGGACCGAGGGAGTATTAGATTCGATTTTGATCCATGCCAAAAAGTCTTAGTTATCCGTCGTCGGTGGAGAAGTGACAAGGACACTATCCTAGCCCACACTTCTTCTATTGGAGTATTTGCTATTAACAAAAAATGTGATGGTCAAAAATAATAATAGTGTCACCATCACAAATGCTTCTATAAAAAAGAATAATAAGAAGACACTTTTTTGGTTCAATTTATTCACTCCCCTGCATTAAAAAAACTTATGATTTTGTTTTTTTATTTGATCTGATTGATGATGATATGAATTTATTTAGTTTTGATTTTAATTTATTACGGAGTAAATTCTAATATAGTCTAATATGATTAAGTTATTTTTGTGTGGGTCTTCAAAAAGTTAGGGTTCACCTGACATGATTATTATTTTTGGGTGTGTGTGGATAGTATTTACAAATTACAACTAGGGGGAGTACTTATCAATGAAAGGTTTGCTTCCTCTGTGGGATTTGCTTTAAATAAGCGGTTCTCTCTTCTTCCTTTCATAGCCTCTTATTACACAGTCTTATCTTCTTCTTCTTGTTCTTGTTCGTTCAGTGTAAAATGGAAGCAGACTACGTGCAGAGGTTTCACAGGCATCAGCCCAAAGATTACCAAAGCTCTGCCACCGTTATGAAGCACATCAAAGCCTCCACTGACATCGTACTGATTTATTCCATCCCTTTCTCTCCATTTCATCCTTCTTCTTCTTTTTCATTTTTCTGATTTCTTCTAGTACTGTAATTTATTTCCTGTGATTCATTTTCTTCCGTAAAATCTTAAAAGAAGAGTTTTTTTTTTGGGATCCACCCCAATTCTGTAGAGTTGTAATCCAAATCAATCCTCTGATCTTGGATTATTTATGACAATTCTTCCTATTAGAATTTCTATAACAAATAAAGTAAACTTTGTGGAGGCCGGCTATGTTCCACGGATCCTTCAAACAAGTGTAGCTCTTTGGATACTTGGGATGTTTGGACACCCAAATTCTTTGTGAAATTTAGAAAATTTGTTTTTAGTGCTACTAGTATCACACCCGTGCTTTGCAAGCCCCGTATTTAAATTATTAATGAGATCTAATGTTTTTATTATTATTATTGTAAATTACATTAATGGTACTTTCTTTTTATAACGTAACAATACACCTTCTAACATCTCACTTAATTTATTCCTAGCGATTTCCTTTTTTGATTCTTACCATTTTTTACAAGTGTGATTGTGTAAATATGTGTGTCCTGGTGGTGTCAACCTTAATGTCATGTCAACATTTCACAGTAGTTAATAATGAGTGTGTGATTGGCAGGTTTGGTCACTGGTGAGGAGATTTGATGAGCCACAGAAGTATAAGCCATTCATCAGCAGGTGCACGGTGAAGAAGGAGGGTGAAGATGTAGGGATAGGGAGTGTGAGAGAGGTGGATGTCAAGTCAGGCCTTCCAGCTACAACCAGCACTGAAAGGTTGGAACTTCTTGATGACCAGGAACATGTTCTTGGAATCAAGATTGTTGGTGGCGATCACCGACTAAAGGTCACATTTTTATTCCTCTCTTTAAGACAATTACATGGCTTTCTTGATATACCCTCTCCCTGTCTTTGAATGCACCAATCGACTTTACATATGATGAATGAATGAATGCAGACGTGACGTACGTCTATATTCGTTCAACTCTCGAATGATGAGTGTATGTTTTTGTGGGGGTGTTGTGGATGCAGAACTACTCATCGGTCATAACGGTGCACCCGGAGATGATAGAGGGGAGCCCGGGGACGCTGGTGATCGAGTCGTTCCTGGTGGACGTGCCTGAAGGGAACACGCGAGAGGACACCTGCTACTTTGTGAAGGCCCTCATCAACTGCAACCTCAAGGCTCTGGCTGATGCCTCGGAGAGGATTGCGGCTCAGGGCATATGGGGCTGATTCTTAGCTTGCTTCTTGTGACACTTTATGCATACATACATATATGTTGGGATTGTAGAGATATGATTGCTTAGAAGCAGATCCACTCTCCCAATGGCATTATATATTTATGTTATAGTGAGTGAGTAGTTCATATATATTCCTCTAATTAATCATCTAGCTAGGAAATCAATGGGCTTTTGATATATATATATGCTGTAAATAAGAAATTATGGTTGGCTTTTGATGGAAGCCTAGCTGCCAAGTTTGATATATGATATGATTGAGCAAATTAAATAATGAGTGATGCATGGTGACCATCCTTAATGGTATAAATATGATGATGTTTGGTGTTATAATTGATACAATTTGATAATAACTTGTCTTATTGAATATTGAGAGATATGACCCTATATATAGGGAATACAAGAGTAATCAAAGTACAAGTAGGAAAGGAAAGAATAATTCTAGTAGGAAAGGAAAGAAGTATCCTAATTTAATTATACTTCTTAATATCCCCCCGCAAGCTGATCAACGGAGACGAGGGGCAGCTTGGAACATAAGTACTCAAAAGGAACTGGCGGAAGCGGTTTGGTAAGAATGTCTGCTAGCTGCTCTGAGGAGGAAACATGATGTGGAGTCATAGTGCCTGCCATAACCTCATCTCGTACGAAGTGACAGTCTGTGCCCACATGCTTCATGCGATCATGAAGAACCGGATTTTTTGGTGACACAGATAGTCGACTCATTGTCACAGTATAACTTCGGTTTGGACGGAGGAATACCCAGTGCAACAGTGATATATCGAAGCCACATAGCTTCTGCAACCCCTGCAGCCATAGCTCGATATTCAGCTTCAGTGGATGATCTAGAAACACGAGTTTGCTTTTTCGTGCACCAAGAGATGATATTAGGACCGAGTAGGAGTATGTAGCCCGTGGTAGACTTGCGATCATCTTTATCATTGGCCCAGTCAGAGTCAGAGTAGACAGATAGGTCGAATCCTCCCTTGCGAAAAAGAAGACCATGATTCAAAGTGCCTTTGAGATAGCGCAGAACGCGTTGCAAGGCATGATAGTCCTGCTCAGTGGGGTTGTGCATAGTCTGAGACACTCGATTAACCGCATACTGAATGTCTGGACGAGTGACAGCCAAGTAATGTAAACCGCCAACAATGCTCCGAAAATGAGAAATATCCTTGAAAGGCAACGAAGGCTTAGTGATAGGTCTCGTAGCTATAGGAGTAATAGCCGGATGACAGTCCGACATCCCAGCTCGGCGTAGAAGATCACGGGCATATTTGGATTGATGGAGAAGTATAGAATCTTGCGTGCGCTGAACCTCAATGCCAAGGAAGTAATGAAGAGGTCCAAGTTCTTTGAGCTGGAAGTCACGGTGCATGGCCTGAGTAACTTCTGAGATGAGAATAGAAGAGCTGCCAGTGAGAACAATATCATCAACATAGACAAGGACAAGCTGGTATCATGAATGCAGCACTTGAATCCAAGGCCCTGCAAAAAAGAGGAGAGGCGTGTGTACCATGCACGGGGTGCCTGTTTGAGACCATATAGTGATTTGCGGAGCTTGCAAACATAGTGAGGATGAGTGGGATTTATGTACCCCGGGGGCTGCTCCATTTAAATTTCCTTGTCCACTGTACCGTGAAGAAAGGCATTGCTAACATCTAGTTGATGAAGAGGCCAATCACGGTTGAGTGCTAAAGAGAGGACCAGGCGCACTGTTTGTTGCTTGACCACAGGACTGAATGTCTCCTTGTAATCAATGTCATACTCCTGATGATAACCTTTTGCGACAAGACGAGCCTTGTACCTTGAAACAGATCCATCAGCATTCCGTTTAATGCGATACACCCATTTGCAACCAATCGGAGTGCGGTTCTTGGGTGGTGGAACCAAGTCCCATGTACGTTGCTCATTCAAAGCAATAAACTCCTCATCCATAGCCTGACACCAAAAACTATTACCAGAGGCTTGGCGGTAAGTGCTAGGCTCAGTGGTAGGTGGGGTAGTATCAAGGGTGGTAATGGTATAGGCTTTAGGTTTGAAAATTCCAGATTTGGCTCGGGTTTGCATGGTGTGTGTGTTTTGGGGCGGGGGTCGGTTAACCG